AAGAAACATCTTCATTCATACACAGAAAACGATCCAAAACACTGTAGTGAGCATGCCAGGCCTGTATGAGGCGCTGTGGTGCTGCCACAAAAATACATCAAAAACAGGAAACAGGATGTAAAGCATGAACCAACTTGCATGCTTGGTGCGAAATGTAAACACAACACAACGAGAAAAAAGGTGCCCACTGATCAGGTGGGGCTATGACATCTTGTTTTTGAAAGACTGCAATTTTAGTGTAGACACAAAAATGCTACGCTGCTGTTTTAGGATTTATTTATTCTAATACAGTTTTGCGTCTCCTTAAAACCCATGTCTGTATGGACATATGACTGAAATTATAAAATAAGTTTTTGTTTGCTCACCAAAAAACATCCCGTGTTTCCTGGAACTAAACAACGGTAGCCTGCAAAATAATAATTTTAGTTTTTTGGTCAAATATTAAAATTAACGTTGTGAGTTACTGCACACGATATGTGTTGGCACTCAAAGTATGTGTTTTGAAAAACTCTCGGCTACTACCACACCAAATCTTAGCTCATTTTTTATCAAACTGGCTGAATGTCGTTTTCATGTTGGCTAATTTTGCTTAACTGTGGTGGCCATCTTGGATTAAATTGATTCCAAAAAACATTCCATTGTAAAATCCAATGATTACTTTCTCAAAGTTTCAAATTAAATCCACGCACTGGATCATGAGATATTTTGCTAACAGACAGAAACATTAACATACAAAAACACACGGGGAATACTCATTCTGACACCATACCTTACTTTCCGCCGTACACGTCATACCACCGTATAAGTCGCATCAGTCCAAAATGTCTAATAAAGTGGAAAAAAACATAAATAAGTCACTTTGCCGTATAAGTTGCATGTATTATGCATCACCGCTGACCCGTTGTGTTTGTTATGCGTCACTGCTGACCGGAAACGTGGGCCGGTGTTGTGCCAAAAATCGATAGGCTGCCAAATGGTGGCCACGGGAGCATGCACGGGAGGACTTTAATAAGAATTTAACAATATTAACACTTAAAAACAATTATTTGTTAGCTTGACATTATAGTTAAGGTGTGTCTCAGTTGAACTTTTCTTTAATAAATGCACTTTAATGGTCCAATGCAGCTGCATTTCACCTGGGCTGCATAGCAAAATGCAGCTGTTTTGACGTTTGCTCCAGGAGTTCCAGAGCGAGACGAATGTGGCTCTGTATGGCAAGCCAAGTGTCTCATTAATAGCCACTTTTACCTATTAATGAGACACTTGGCTTACCATATTCGTTGTGGGCCCTCTAGTGGCTGAAAATAGTAGTGTTCAACATTTTCCATGTCAGAATGAATGAAATCGTCAGCAAGAATTAGTTTATAAATATGGGACACAAAACTTAAATAAGTCGCTTCACCATATAAGTCGTAGGCATGCAAATTTATTCAAAAAGGTGCGACCTATACGGCGAAATGTACGGTAGATTGATGCATAAACGCCTTTAGCTAATATCACTTGTGCCATTTTTCTCAGTAATCTGATCAGTTCTCGCTTTATTTTGTAATAACTCATCCTCCTGCTGATCATCATAACAATTAAAACAACGTTGACTTCCAAGTAAGAGAATACCGCCCTATTTTTAACTTTTAAACGTTCTGTTTTCGTTATTTCCCTTTTCTTTTGGAAGGTTGCGTTTGGCATCATGGCCATTTCAAGCCTCCTCCGGTGCATGACGACAGCGCAGGAGCAATCCCCAGCAGCCTATCAAACATCTTCACAGATAAGGCCTCAAAGCTCCGGAGACGTTACGGCTTTTAGTTACGTTAATCCCTCAGCCGCTCCATCTCCTTCTTTTTTTTTTTTTTTTCACAAAGGCAATTTGTTCAGGTTTTCCCCTCCCAAAGTGTTAAATAATGGTGAAACCTGCAGGGTTGGTGAGTTTTATGGGTTGCTGAGTCCTGGGACAGCTTTTAATGGAGGCAGAAAGGCTGACATGAAGTGTAAGCCAGATGGACTTTCTCCTGTCCTGCTCATAAAATCTTTTAGGACAGATCACAAATCAAGACCCCTCAGTGCTACGTTAAGCATTTGGATTGTTATTGTTATCGTACGCTTGCAAATACTAATGTAATTTATAGCTTTTTGAGGAGAATTCAGATCTCGACCCTCTCAGACGACTGTTTAACAGTTAATACGAGGCTGATGGAGTGCAGAGCCTTTAGCTTCTCATCCAGCGTGAATTAGGAGAGAGGATTTAAGATGAGTGCCATCTATACTTTATAGCTTTAGTTTCTGAGGAGCTGAGAGTTAAGTTCAGATATCTGCGGTGTGGAAAAGAAGCGGACGGCAGCAGGTAGGTCGCTGCGCTCTGAAGGCCGGAAGAAACGAAAAGTGAAATCCAAGATGCTGAGCTGGAAAACTGCAGCCCTCCTGAGGTCGGCTCTCTTTCCGGAAAAGAGGAAAGTGGACCCCATGCACAGAGCGGGAGGCGGTCCGGGGTTTTTGGGGTCACTCATTATGATGTTGATGTTATGATAAACAAATAGCTTCGAGCTAAATTGTGCTGTTCTGGTTAGATTATTTAATAGTTAAGCTCCTTATTCAAATTCAAAAGTTTAATTTTGGATGTCTACTGACAATAAAAGTAGACCGTCACTTTGATATAATAAGCTGCTGCAGATCAAATTAATAAAACACACACAAAAAAAATTCAGATTTTCTGTGGGACAAAGTGAAGCATCGCCTCCTTTTTTCTTTAAACGTTTTAAGATGAGCTGATGTTGTAAATATTTATTTTAAAAAAGTAGATTAAATATGATAACCAGAAGGAAAAAATATCCTTGGCAGTAATAACTGTGCCAAAACGGAAGCAAATGATTAAAAATATAAAAACATCAGCGCCAAAATAAAGAGCCTTTTTGTTCATTTGGAAGGCAAACGTGTGTAAAAATGTATTCTAGCATGAAATAAATTTAAATGAATTCCACAATTTAATGAAATATGATGGGGAAATAAAGGTAAATGTAACACATTTTAAAAGTTGACAAATCAAAAAAAAAAAAAAAGGAACTAATTTGTAGAGATGAAAAATATTCTATAAAAAACAAAACGCGTTATAAAAACTGTGTTCTGGGGTGGGGGGGAATGGGATCCGTCTAATTTTCCAGCACCTTTAAAGGCCTTGAACTGGAAGAAGTCCAGCCCACTTTGTGATGTCGAGGACTCTTTGTGAAGCAGCACATCACTTATTTATTTTATATAAACCCTGCGCTCGCTTGGTTTACCCATAAAACTCCGGCAGTCTTCATTTTCCATCAACAAACATCTTAATGGCCGAGGCAGCTTGACACAGATATATACAGTAATTATTCTGAATATTCTCTGCGAGGGCCCGGAAATGTATTTATACACGAAGGAGAATAAACACTTTGACTCCAACTGCTGCTATCCAACACCATCCTGACGTCTCTCTCCTCTGGAAGAAGAACTTCTTATATTTTTTGCCCCAAAACGAGACGGTTAGGAAGTGGAGAGAGTTATCGATGAGCATTTATCTGGACTCAAATTTAACAGGCTCGTAATAAAAAGGAAGAGCGCCACGAGCTCATGTCATTAAACAGGTCGTTTAAAAGTGATGCAATGATGCTGATTCGTTTTAAACATGAAGTATTGATCAACAGGATAAGGATGATTGAGAAATTATATTTCAACATCATTGCCCTTATCATTCTTCTTTTTTTTTTTTTTTTTTTTGGTTAGTTGTGAAACTTGGATTATTTAACTCTGAAAAGTGGCAGAGGAAGTAATGAGTGGCACCATAAAGGGAAAATGTTGCTTTTTTTTTGTGTCAAATGACTAAAATATACTGGTTTCGGCTGCTGCCTGGAACTGGTAAATATAGAGTGTAGATTAGACTCAACAGAGTCTGAGCGCACTGAGAAACACTCAGATCAAGAATTTGGTTTAAAATGTTCTCTTTGTATGAAAATGATGAAAATAAAAATGACATTTTCCATTTTTTTGTATGAAAGAAAATATGTAGTTTGCAATTTATTAGGAATTTTTAAAGCCTCTTACGCTCCTTTTTGTCATTTAATTTTAACTTTTAGGCTTTTTTTTTAATTTACTTCAGTTTAATCAGATGCAACAGTAAAAATAATAATAAAAAAAATCTTTTATTTTTTTTATCTTTCTATTTATTTTTGGATTTGGTACCTGGATGAATGAGCATGAACTTTGTTGCTTTCTAATTATTAATAAAGATAATAATAAACCAGAAAATAATTATTTAACCAAGCAAATCCTATTGAAATTACAGATTTAATTATTATATATTTTTTTTTTTTTGCAATGAAGACTTTGCTGCAGACACGTGCATGTTTTTGGACGGAGTACCTGCAGAAAACCCTCAAACATGAGAAACTGCACAGGAAGACACGGGGACTGAACCCACGACCTTCTTTCTGTGAGGCAACAACCACCAATCCATCATGCTGCTCAATAATAATAATAATAATATTAATAATAAAAAAATTCCCAGGTAAGAACAATTTATTTACATTTTTTTTCAGTGCAAATTAATATTAACAAAATAGCACAAATATATCAAAACAAGCATGAACGCTGCACGTGACGTTCTGAGATTTCATTTACAAAAAGTGGTTTAAAACCTGAACAATAAAATTCACACCACATTTATGTCCATCATCATCATCATCATCATCATCATCATCATCATCTTCAGCTCAGTGGAGCTAGAAACAAAAACAAAATGAAGGTTGTGTCTGAAGGATGATCTTTGAAAAATAAAAAAAGAGGGAATTCACACCTGGTTTATTGATGTTTGGGTTTGTGTGTGTGTGTGTGTGTGTGTGGGGGGGGGGCGTGAGGGGGTTAATAATGTGCAATAAAAACAAATCAATCAGTCTCTTTGCTCCTCGTGCGTCCCGGAAACAGACTGACCCGTTTTTGTTTGCAGCTACACTTAAAAAAAAAAAAAAAGAAACATTCTCTTGTGTCCAGAGCTGAAACAAACATTTGTTCCTCCTCATATTAAGACCTGCTCCTGTTCCGTGTCCGTGAGCGCGGACCCCGCGTCGGCGCCGCCCGCCTGCGCGCTCCCGCTCATGATCACGCTGGTCTTATGGAGGTCAGAAACGTCCAAATGTCCTCTGTCCTCCTCGGGCTCGTCCGAGTCGCTGTCGCTGCGGGCCTCGCTCTCACAGTCGGACTCCAGCGGCTCTTTGGGCTCCTCGCTGCCCGCCTCAGACACACCCGGCTCCGGCTTGTCCTCCTTGTCCTTCTGCGCCTGCGCCTCCTTGGAGTGTCTCCACTTCATGCGCCTGTTCTGGAACCACACTTTAACCTGACCAGACGCACACGTGCACGGTGTTAACTTAAACCTTAAACTCTTGTGATTTATACATGAACATACATAATGAACTTCCAGAAAAAAAAAAGCAGAGGTGGCGTTTTTTTTTTTTTTTTAACATTTCTTTTAATTTTATTTTTTTTCACGCTCAGCTCTCTGCGCGATTTAAAGTCTTGACCTTGAAACCACTGGTGGAAAAAGATAAATAAAACCCACAAATTTTAAAGCAATCATCAAAAGTGTTCTGCGTTTATAACCAGCTGTGGCATTTATTTATTTAAAGCTACAAAATAGATTCAAAAAGATATAGCTGAATAAATTAGACTTATTGTTGGGTCTCCTGTCAGCCAATCAGCTTCCAGAGTGACATCATCAGTTAAAGGCCTCACTTTCAGCCTCCTTAATGTAAACAGACCATGTTTTTACTCATGGTTCTCAAGTTTTATTTATGCAACCTAAATGTATAAATATATCAAAAAATAAAATGTTAGTTACAACATCTCATGTTTCTTGTTTTTATTCTGTCAATTTAAGGAGGAGCTTGCAGTGTGATTTTAAATATTTCAGCTAATTTCTTTTACAAAAATAGTCAAAGCTGAACCTTATTTCTTCAGTAACAACAGCGATTAAATAAAAATGAAATTTTATTTGAAGATATTTCTTATGATGTCATGAAACTTGTCGTTAAAGGGTTTTATTTGGTTTATTTGTCTGGAGATGCGTTTTCTGATTAGTGCTGAGTTCTGCAAAAATGAGGATGACTTTTAAAGCTGCAGAATAAACTGATTTATTGTCATCGCAGTATTAAATAATGCAATATCAATAACGCAGAGGACAACAATAAACAATGGACTATTATACTTCAAGTGCATTTGTGTCCTGCTGCTAATAATTTAGTCAGTCAGCAGCTTCTCACAAACACGATGACAGAAAAAAAACGAGAGTTTATCTCAACTGATATCGTCATGGCGATATTAAACAATAATGTGCATATTTTATTCTTCCTGAGCAGAGCGACAGCTGAAGTGAGGCCTAGTTGAGCTAAACAACCGGCTGAAAATATCCAAATATCTAATATTAAATATTTTTAAATGTGACCAATTTAGAACAAATAAAATAAAATGAAATAAACCTGAAACTGTTGTTTTCGAATCTGATAGAGTTGGGTGGAGGACTCATGCAAACGTCTTAGCCGAGACCCTGTGGTCTCTTGATTCCTTATAATGAGCTGTTGCCATGGCAACAACTTCTCATTGCCTCCATGCCTGCATGTCTGGGTTAAACCATGATGTGGCCTAAAAATAACAACCTTAGGCCACTTGAGCATCAAAACAAAGCGATAAAAATGTTTTAGACTGATTTGTTCTGCATGTTGTTGTTTTTTTAAATCAGGTAAACAAACTTTATGTTGTTTTTTTTGTGCGAGCCCTCTCACCTGAGCATCTGTGAGCCCCAGCATGGCAGCCAGCTGCTTTCTGTCCGGCTTGGTGACGTACTTCTGTATCTCGAATCTCTTCTCCAGACCTTTCCTCTGCAGGTTGGAGAACACGGCCCTCGACCACGACCTCTTCCTCTTGTACGTCTGAGGCATTGTGTCTTTTGTGAGGACGGCGTAGGGACCTGAAGACGACAAAAACACACAAGGAGGCCACGAGATTAAAGCACGATCAGACGAAGCCTTGAAAACACAGCAGGCTTGAAGCGGTCAGCTGCTCTCCTACAGGTGATGTCTACCTGGGAAGGTGTCCTGAAACTGATGCTGGCCTGAGTGTCTGCTGCTGCTGCCTAGTGAACTCATCATGGAGGACGCGTCCATCCCGGGGTCTATGGAGGAGAAGTACTGGCTGGCAGGAGGCTGAACGGGGATGTGGAGGCCTGACTGACGGTTGGAGCTAACAATGGATGTGAGATCTGTTGCAGAGTGAGAGATGTGAGGGCACAGGCAAACACACGGTGACAATCTCAAGTTTAAAGAGATGTTTAGAGTGTAAATAAATGGGGGGTGGGGAGGGGGTTCCTGATTAGGTTATTCTTTTTGCTGTTTGCAGCTGATCCTGAACCTCTGACCTCTTATTAAAAAGCAGCACGAAGTTATTTTAAAGCCTCTGAAGTGGAACGTGCGCAAAAGTTGCTTCAGTTTCAGTTTCTAACTTGTGTTCTCCATAAAATTATGAAAATATTTCAATGATATACAAAAAAAAAAAGTTTATTTTATTTTATTTATAATTATTCGTCTAAGAGGACTAGGAGTGCCCCTGCATGCTCACCTCTTAGCGATGACTTTTCTTTGCACTTTGGATCAAAGTCTGTGGATAAAATCCGATCGATTCCAAATTTGAGGTCCTTGCTCGAGGGCGGCGGGGCATGCTGGGAGTTGAACGACGTCCTGGAGAGTGAGGTCAGTTGTAGTCCGTGTCTGTGGTATCCAGAAGCCGGGCTGAGCCTGGCCCCGAACACTAAGGGCTCCGGAGCGACGGGAGAGGGGCGCAGAGGGGAGCCGCCGGGCTGCGGAGCGCGCGGCTGCTGCTGCTGATGGTGGTGGTGGTGGTGGTGTCCCATGTGCACCATGAGGGTGGACGAGCCCGGGATGTTCTCTGCATCTCCAGCCTGCAAGATGTCTGCGATGCAGAACGAGGGTTTTTTCACGGAGTCCACAGCGAAGCCCCCGGCGCAGTACGCGGACCAGAGGCTGAAGTTTGACGCGTAAAACGGGCTGAGTCCGGCCGTGTACATCCCGGAGCTTTAACTGGGTCTCAGAGCAGGGCAGAACAACATGTACGAACAAAAACACACATACAAACATGAAAGTGTTGAGCTTTTGGAGCCCCGTCCTCTGTGTGGAAATGCCCAAAAAGCTCTCGCAGCTCTGAAACTCTGCAGCAGCAGCTCCGCTCCGAAGTTCCTCCGCTGACGCTGATTGGTCGCTTTCTGAGCCAATGGGCGCGCTGCGTTCGCTCACATCTAATTAGTCTAATTTAACGCGCGCGCGCGCGCACTGTAACAGCAATTACACCGGATGCTAATTTTTACAACCTTAAAGAACTGCTTGTCTGAGTGTTCAGACTCTGCAGGTACAGAATCTTAACTAAATATCGGGTTATAAACATTTTTATGTTTTCTAACTGTTGGCTGTCCAATAATCACTTATGCGATTATTTCCTGAAAGTTTTATTTAAATCCGTCCAGAGTTTCATGAAATATTTTGCTAACAGACGGGAATAATTAACTTTTGTCCTGTGGTTCATGATGTTTTGCTAACATGATCCACTTTAAGGCATAAAAGCACATGCCGCATAATGAAAAGGATTAATAATAATAAACAGGCAACCCCTCCCGGTATGGAGGGGTGGGGGGGTCTATTAGCTCCGTCTCATCCTGTTTTTGATGGGCCGTGATTCGCGCTAAATGAGCGGATGCGCCTGTTAGATGTGGCCCTGAAATAGCAGCGGCCTCAGTATTTTAGGATGCAGCAGAAATCCTTATTTCTTCCGGAGGAGCAGAAGAAGAAGGAGGGGACACTTTTATAATGACTGTTAGAACTTCCCTTCTTCAATATTTGCGCAACTTTATCTCAACGCGCAACTTGCACCGTGACGCAAATCCGTCCCCATGCTCATAATAAACAGAGGAAATATACCCCCCCCCCCCACACACACACCCCTCCTATTCGAAAACACAATTAACTTCAGAGGGGATACTTCATCACACACACACCAACAGGTTCCCACACCGCGAGCTCGCGCAGGTTTTTATAAAGGAAGAATTAATATACATCAAATAAAATCAGCTTTCATCACTTTAAACTTGAAAAAAATAAAAATACCCAGTGACAATGGCTCCTGAAGGCCTCGCGCGGCTCGTTTTTATAAAGTCCTGCTTGATGCGCGCGGAAGCGCCGCTGACCTTGACTGTCCTCTGTCACGGTGTTTTCGAGTGACACTTTTCCGGGTTAAAATTAGAAAGTGAGCAACGTTCGCCCTCCATCACAGTCAAAACAATCCAGGGAAGAGGATGTGGGCCGGAGGCTGCAGTTATTTCAGGTGCTGATGATGAGCCGCGCAGAACGGCTTTCATGCACACACTGTGTGTGTGTGTGCGTGCGCGCGTGTGTGTGCACATAGCTCCTGTGAATCAAAGCACAAAGAATGCGTGAGCAAACATAGATTTTAAAGCATCGCAAAGTGTGAACTCAAAAAGGTGCATCCTCAGCTGGAATAACTTGAAAGCTCCAGATGTTTTAACGTGCTGTAAAGCTCCAGATGTTTTAATGTGCTGTAAAGCTCCAGATGTTTTAATGTGCTGTACCAAAACGACATGCGGATGCTTGACTCACGTGACTGCAGTTTAGGTAAACAAATATGGCGGATTTGGATGAGCAGCTGAGAAGACATTTAAGTGAATCTGCTGCTTTAAGAATAAATATTAATGTCCAAGCACGATGAGCCATGAAAACAGAACAAAGTAGCATTTGCAAAACTTCCAGCATCATTTCAAACTAATCGTTCAATTTATTTTTATTTATTTTCTCAACAAATTGGAGCCTAAATATAAATACATGAAAACTGTTGAATTGTTTTGATCCAGTTGTCCAAAGTTACTTTTTAATAGATGTTATTGATGTTGCAATGAGTCTGAAAGTGTGACCTCCTAATAAACACATTTGTTTCACAGATCAGTGAAGAGAAATGTTATTGGCTTTCTTCATCATCATCATCATCAGCATCATCATCATCATCGCCAGGTCTCCTGTCTCTGCTGGGACCGGAGTCTGTCTCTAACACAGGACTCAGAGACAGATGGTCACTTGTTTTTAGTCTGAGGTCAATGCATCACCTCCTTTCACTTCACTTGAATTCAGTTGAAACTGCACAAATTTATATCAAATAGTCTCTGGGCACTAAAAAAAAAGGAGTAAAAACAAATTCAAATCATAATTCTCATTCACTTCCAAACAGATATTCTGATTCAAACATGTCATGATTATTCAATCACTTTATTAAGGGCATTTATTATTTATACATATATCCCCTATACATAGAACTAAGATGTTATTCATATGTTCTATAGATGCAGAGTGAATATTTCAAGCCTTTATTTCTTGTAATTTTGATGATTATGGCTCAGAGATAATGAAAAAATAAAACTCACTGTCTCAGAAAATTAGATTATTACATACCTTTTGTTTTCTTTGTCAGTGTGGGCAGGAGCAGAGACCTGCTGGAAAATGAAACCATCATTTCCATACAGCTCGTCAGCAGAAGGAAGCATGAAGTCTCTAAAATGTCCTGGTAGATGGACTTCAGAAAACCAGTGGACCAACACCAGCAGAGGACATGGACCCAAACCATCACTGACTGAACTTCACACCGGACTTCAAGCAACGCGGGATCTGGTCCTCTCCAGTCGTCCTCCAGACTCTGGGATCTTGATTTCCAAATTACATGAAAATTTACTTTAATCTAAAACGAGGACATCGGACTTCTGACTTTGTCTCTGGTTCAGGAGTGGCTTGAGGAAAGAGATTTTGTTCCTCATGTAGGAGTTAATCAGCTGGTTTGGGTATGTTTAAAATATTGGACCTCTTCACAATATTCTAAAGTTCTGAGACTGAATTTAGATTTCCATCATCTATAAGTCAAAATCATCTAAATTACAATGTTGTGTACTATATGAGCTTCACTTTCTGAATGACTGACAAATAACTTTTTCATGATATTTTAAGTTTTTACATGCACTTGTATAAGAGTAGGTATAAACATTTGTGCTCGTGGCTTTCAAGGTTCACATATCTGAAGCACTTATCTAAGAATTATCTTTATACTTTAGAAATTTAATTTCTTTAAATAAATATGTATTTATAAATATGATGATTTAGATGTTTTAATTACATATATATATATATATATATATATATATATATATATATATATATATATATATTAATGAAGTCATCATGTCTGAACTGTTAGGAGGGTGTGGCACCTGATACATAACAATGTGAAGATACAAAATAAATTACAGTAAAACTAAAATACTAACTGGTGGGTAACAAAAGGTCAAAGAACGTGTTTCTGCAGAATGTACTCAGCTGAAGCGACAAAGTTTTGCCCTATGAACATATTACAGAACATGAAAAAAAAGATATGAGACCTTTTAATCAAATGCAAAATCTTTATATTCTCATCCGTACAACGTATTAACACCTAAAGCATGGGTCCACAAACTTATTATCTTCTTACGCCAAAAATAATAATATAAAACACTGCAATCACAAATACCCTTGTACAAATAACATAGATTAAACTCATTATTCTCCACATTTCCCCATTTGTGACTATCTTTTTGTAACAATTATAGATAATATGAGTTTGGGAACCACAAATCTAAAGCATATAATAATAACAACAAAACAAAAGAAAAGCCTAACAATGCAGTCTTAAACCTGAGTTTTGGCCTCGATGACTCTGTGTCTATAACCGAAGAGCAAACAAACAACATGAGAACACAACGCCGGAGCCTTTATGAGTCACATGCTCTATAAAAACATGCGAGCACCACCTGAAGTTTAAAGCATCCATTGTTGTCGCCTGATTGCTCTGTGTGTGTTTTTCAGGAAGTCTTAACAGGCGCAAAGAGAACTGAATGAATCCACCTCGGACTGGATCACACGCTGCCGAACAGAATGAACCCATTTCCATTATTACACCCAGAATTATTGCTCCCCCGCCCTCGTCCTCCTCTCCTAAGACCCTCCAGTTCTGGCCAGGATTACTATTTCTGGCAATGTTTACTTTAGGAAGGAACTTTCGCAGATTTAATGGGACCTGGGCCATTGTACACAGCCTTCTGTATGGCACTCTGCCATCATTTCCTCAGAAAGGGGAGGAGAGGCCTATATGTCTAAAGTGGACTCAAAACAAAAGGGTTTATGTGGCCGTGAGCACATCCAGGGTTTCAGACGGACTACAAGCTGGCTGCCTCTTCCCTCGCCTCCACTTTCATTTGGCTCCTTTAACAGGCAGCAGCACCGATTCAAAAGACTAAATAAAAGTGACAAGTTTGTCCTTTTGGAGGAACATAATTGTTCCCATACCATGCATGGATAAATAAATGAGTGAAGGCCTTCAGTGTCTGAGCAGCGCCCCCTAGTGACTGAAGCCATTCTCCAAAATGGAGTTTTCTGATTCTCATTTTGAGCAGGGCTGCAGCAGATTTTAATTAAAATTTGTCTGGAGTTCAAAGATAAATCCGTCGTGCTTTCTTTAGTTTGAATGTGGCACAAATTATAAATATTAGTTTTCTGTCATCTTTGTGTCTTGATAGAAAACAAACCAGGGGCGATTCTAGAATATGACCTACAGGGGGCGCTCAGCCCCCCCAGTGCTGACAATGACTCTTGGCTTGAACAAAGTGGTGGCCATTGGCGTCAGAAGCATTTGTAATGTGTGGGGGACACATTGGTGGTGGTGGTGGTGGTGGGGGGGGGGGGGGGGTGCCAGGGGGTACTCCTCCATAAAATTTTAAATACCGTATTTTTCGGACTATAAGGCGCACTTCAAATTCTTTAATTTTCTCAAAAATCAACAGTGAGCCTTATAATCCGGTGCGCCTTATGTATCAATTCTGCTTGTACTTACTGACCTCGAACCAATTTTATGTGATACACGGCGTTCAAAAATCTGTAAAACTATTTAAGTTTCGCTTAATGCGCCTTATTATCCGGTGCGCCTTATAGTCCGAAAAATACGGTAAAGTTGATGCCGTTTCCTGCATTCTGGTGTATTTTAACGGGCTGTTAAACATCTATGTTTACGTCCATTAGTAAACACTTGATTCAATAACTATTTTAGAGAGCATGGCAC